AAGCTTAATTTGTCAGGTTGCTACAACAGCCCACACCTCCAAGACTTGAACAGAATATGGTACGTGCAACTGTATCATATACATTAACAAAGTGTATTGACCTCACATATGCACTTAACTAATTTTAAAATGTCTCTAGGAGAAATTGCAGTATTCACTAGCACAGTTGTAGAAAACATAATTTGAAATTCCCATCAGTTAACCTTCCATACTCTACTGGACCAGGGTTTGGATCAGGAGCAAGCACATTTCCAAAAACACTTGTGAAGATGAGTGCTCTTTACATTTTCAACAAAAGCTTCTGTGCTGAGCTTCAATATTGTTGTAATGCTTCTGTCAAACTTTGGTGCTCATGATTTCTAACATGCTGGCACATTTTGATGGTCCATAGCATGCAGTCATGAATTTGGTTCCCTGTTCAATGACATCAGGCACATCATTGATGTCACCAATTAAGGAGAGAGAATACTCAGCCTGTAGAGTCTTTAAAACAGTGTTTTTGCCAGTGCTGAAATAGCATACTATTATATCACATCCTGACAGGACATGGGAAGATAATTCTGGCAGAGTAGCCTTATGTTTCTGTACAGTAGCATCTATTTCTATTTCAGCTCTCTGTAGGATTGGTAATTCCATAACTACCAAAGATGTAAGCTCCTGCAAAAGATAATGGTGTAAGAGTAGGCCAAATACATCTATGTCATCTGATAGTACTTTTATCCCCACCAATTATGTAGCTTTGCACTTAACAACATAATACTAATATTTCAATTACTTGGAATAATGAAAAACCCTAATTTCAAGTAGTTGATTATTTTTGTTACAATCAATTTAATAGTAATTTCAATTAATTGATTGTTAGAATAATCAAAAAAAAAAAGACTTTAAATAATATATACCAAGTTCACACTTTTTTGTCATCTAGATAACCAATAATATCCCCCAAAAATGTTAAGTTAGTAAAGCAGAGTTTTCTTCAATGAATGCCTATTAACTCTTTTATAATGTCATATTTCACTAAATAGTTTTGCAAAGCTTTTTATATCACCGCAGAATTTTTGCCATTACACAAGTAAGATTAACTGACTTATAATTTCCAGTTCAATATGTATCACCTCCCTTTAAAAATAGGAGTAACAAAGTAAACGTTCTAAAAAAATGCTAGATTTTTGAGCTTCAGTCTTCACAGCCTGTCCATGTACACCTGTTAAAAAAAGCAAATCTTGAAGAGATGAGGAAAGAATTATGTGCTGTGAAATAGTTGGAGACACTGATCAAATGTGGAAAAAATTGTTTCAATTATTAAATATTCAAGATAGGCATGTTCCTTATTAACAGAAAAGAGTGGCTGCAAGTAAAAAAAAATAATGTTGGTTCATAAAGGATGTAAAGAATAAAATAGAAGAAAAGCATTATAAAAAAAAAGCTTAAATTCACTGCAATGATGGGTGATTTGGAGGATTATAGAAGATCAAGAGAGTTGATCAAACAGAAAATTAAGAATTAAAAAAGAAATTTATGGGGAAAAAAAGGTTGTCTGAAAACATAAAAGAAATATTAAGGAGTTCTTCAAATACATTAAAGGTAAGCAATATGTTAGGATGTGAGTAACTGGAAGGGCTAATATCTGATGATTATGGGATGGCTGGTTTATTAAATTTTAGTTTTTCTTCAGGTCTACTAATGAAGATTTAAGCAATATTCCTCACCATAATAGTTCGAAATAAGACTGAACTAGATGATCACTTTAATTTTGAACTTGTTAAGAAAACATTGGGAAGTTTAAAGAATGATTAAACTCCTGATCCAGATAATATTTTGAATAAGGTTAAAAATTGGATATGTGAGCCACTTGCTATTATTTTTTCTAAGTCCTTGAATAGTTGGCTAATGTTACTTCTCTTTTCAAGGGAGGTGAGAAAATTTTTTGCCAGTAATTATAGGCTTGTTAGTTTTACATCAGTGGTGGAAACATTTTTCGAAACTGTCTTGTCAGGCAGGTGGTAGCACTGCTTATATAGGGATGGCCCAGATTGTTCATTGAAATGGTATTTTAAATATATCCTCAATAGGTCATCAGAACTTTACAATGCTATACAATATTTTTTTTATACCAATATCTATGTGATGACTGAGTCACAAGTTCTGGAAATGTTTGTGAATATCATTGCAAAAAGTTTGAATTTCTTGTTGTTCTTTCTGCTGCTTTTTTATTACACAGTAACTCAAAAACCAAAATGATGGTGTCAACCAGTTTAAATGTGGTGACATAGTTTCAAATGGAGTATCTGCTTTTATAAGTATCATTAACTAGTAGTAATTTAAAAAAAATATAATTATAATGTAAATGATGTTATCATTACCCCTTGAAGTTAGCTTTCTATAGACATTTGGTGTTCCTTTAAAAAAGTTTAAGTACAGGGTGAAACAGGAATTACCCGCCAATAATATAAAAACAATAAATATTACAGTTGGAACCTCATTGTATTTTGAACTTGGTTATAAATACAACCTTCCTATGTCTGTTGAAACACTGCATTAAAAACAAGTAAAAAAAATATTCAAAAAAGGAAGTAAATGTAGGGATGGCTAATATTAATCCTTCAAAAAGAATGCTAACAAGATAATAGGGGATGGCATTTGCATCATCCCTACTAGAATTAACATATTGCAGTATATATAACTATTCAATCACAATTGAGTTTAATTTTTCTTATTTTTGTCTGTTAGTATTCTAGTACATTGTGTGACTGTGCTATTATGTAGGGATGATGCAAATGCCATCCCTACTATTTTGTTGTGTAACTATTTTGTATTGTGGGAATGAGAGAGCATGTTTGGGGTGACAAGACAACAATTACAATAGGTATATTAAAAAACTCAGGGTATGCAGCCACAAGTGGGTACACAAATCAACCAACTTGAGGAAATTTACAAGTAAAGCAAGGAATAAATAATACTGAGTCCAATTCTACACCAAAAAATATACAATTTATAAACATAAAGATATGAAAGCGTATAATGAATGAAAAACAATAACATAAAAGTTTAAACTTTCAGTAACTTGTATTACATACATAATATTTCTAACCCTATCAACATTACTTAATTAACTTTAATGACTTTTGCATTACACATCATATTTCTACCTGGCAATATTGTTAGTGAAAGGAGAATAGCAGTTAAAACTTACATGGAGTTAGCGTAGTGCAAGTCATTTTCTGTCTGTATATCTTGGGAACTTAGCCAAAAGAACTGGAGCAACTAGAAAGCCTAGAACAACCTGGAACCTTCTGGAGCAACCCTGAGGCCGGGAACAACCTTGATGTTGAGGATAATCTTTCTGTCAGGGACAACCACACTTTTGGTCTAGACATCAATTCTTATATGGTTTTGCAGCATAATCCATTCAAATTCATTGGGGTCAGTTTCAAGGTGATTCATTCAGTAATTAAAGTGGACTCATCTTCATTTAGTTATTGGTGCCCAGTGACCAAGGACTTGATGTCAAATAACATAAAAGGTTACAGGAAAAGTTACCTGTGTATACAGCTTCTCGTCCTGTGTAGTCTGTCTTGAATAAACATCTTTCCAACTAAGTGGTATCAGATTACATTTCTCATCCCTGAACACAATTGTTTAAACTTACATATCCATCAAGTTAGAATCACTTTACACGAGAATCCTCTCCATTATCACTGATATGCAGACAGTGTTAGTTATTGTTGACAGGTGTGTTCAACGTTCGTCTTTCGTTAGCATTTTGCAACACATCCCAAGTCCATAGTTTAGTTTGGTTGTAAGGTGGCAGTTCAACTCATGAGAAAGAAAGCTGAAACTTTTAATATTTCGTAACACAGCCATAAGCTCAAAGACTAGTTAACCTGTGAGAAAGTATATTTGAACTAATTGGTTATTTTAGGGTACTTCATTTGCATTCTTTTTGAAGGATTAATATTAGCCATCCCTACAATTAATTCTTTTTTTTTAAGTTTTTTGTTTACTCATAAAGGATGCTTTGTAGAGTCATTTAAGAAAGATTAAAATTTTGTTGGATAGTCAGCATAGTTTCATTAGGAGAAAATCTTCTGACATTCTTTGAAGAGGTTACTGCTTATATAGATACACCAAATCTACATTTACAGAAAACATTTGACAAGGTGCCACATAAAATGGTTGTTAAAAAAGTTATCTCTATTGGTATAGGGGATATGTTGACTCATTGGATAGAAAACTAGGTGGACAGAAGAAAGCAGAGGCTTTTCATAAATGGAGTCCAGTCAAACTGGATTAATGTTACGAGTGTGGTACCTCGGGGCTTGGCATTAGGTCCTTTGCTCTTTTTGATTTACATCAATAATTTAAATGAATGAATGATCAACAAATTACTTAAATTTGCTGTCAACATTAAAGTGTGGAGTATTGCTGGCTGTGAGAAGGATGCTAATGTACCAAAAAAATAATTTGGATTTTTTTAGCGAGTTTGAACAAATAAATGGTAGATGGCTTTTAATTATAGTAAATGCAAGGTAATGCTTGTGAGATATCATAATTTGAAATATGATTATAATTTGATGGGAATAGCATTAACAGTGTTATTGAAGAAAAATATCTTGGTGTTCTGGTTGGTAAGTCTTTTATGCCAATCAAGGTTGTATCTAAAGAAATATTTAATACAAGGCTAAAGAGGTTATAATGTCATTATATAGGTCATTAGTTAGGCCACATTTTGAGTATTGTGTTCAGTCTTGGGTTTCTTATATCAGAAAATACATTGAATTGTTGGAAAGGGCTCAGAGGAGGGCTACTAGGATGATACCTGGGATGGAAAGGTTATATGAGAATAGGTTAAGATCTTTGAACTTCTTTTCTCTTGAAATTAGAAGCGTGAGAGGGGATCTAATTGAAGTGTTTAAGATTGTTAAGGGAATTGATAGTGTTAATGCATCATCTTCTTTTTTTTCATATTTAATGGTGAGAATGGTAAGACTAGGAGACACACAAATTTTGGCAGGGTAGGAGTCAACTTTAGGTAAGACAGCTTTATTTTGGGCTATATGTTTACATGGATTAGTTTAACAAGAATGTGAGGTTGTCCCTTAAACATTTTGACATGCACCCCCCTAAATCTCACTGCCTAAAGAATCACTGGTATGTATGAGAATGTATAATATTCCCAAATCAAAGGTTGATAATTTATTTGAAAAATTCTAATATCATGTTTAGTATTTGTGAAATGTTTGAAAGGAATATAGTGTTAAAAATGTTTGAAAGGAATATAGTGTTAAAAATGTTTGAAAGGAATATAGTGTTAAAAATGTTTGAAAGGAATATAGTGTTAAAAATGTTTGAAAAGAATAAAGTGTGAAAAATGTTTGAAAGGAATATAGTGTGAAATGTATGAAAGGAATATAGTGTGAAATGTATGAAAGGAATAAGGTGTGAAATGTTTGAAAGGAATAAAGTGTGAAAAATGTAGTACAGGAAATAAGCTATAATTGACTGTGATATTTCAATATATTAAAGCATTTTGACATAAACATTAATTGTGGTTGCTACAAGTTTTAAATATTGGCTCAAAACATAATTGTTATCAAACATTTAGTTTGAAGAGACACAGAGAGAACATGCTATACATTCACTCATAAGGTCAGTAAAATATTTAATAAGTTTACAGTGATTCATTATACCAAGAGGTAAAAATGTTAAGTAGTTAGGTGATCAAATGAATAAAAAAATATAAAATGTCCACTTGAGGTGTAAAAGGAAACTCTTGGCTAAGACTGAATTGTTATTATTTTTTTGAATGAAGGGAGAGTATAGCTACCTCCTTGAAGAAGACAATGATTTTTTTAACTTCTAGTGAAGAATATTAATAGGACTGGACATATATGCTTATGTTCCTTATAGAAGTAGTAGCATTAATTTAAACATTTTATAATGTGTAAGTTATATTGTTTTATTATAAAATGCACTGAGCTAATTGAAGTTTGTTGTTTTATAGGTGTGTTGTTTACAACAAAATATTTTTTCCCTGTAGAATAACGCTGTTTTGTGTGGTATGATGGATACAAGAGAAAGACCAGTGTTTCGACCACCAAAAAAACGAGGGCCTCGATCTTTGCCAAGATCGGAAAGTAACTGTACTCAAACAGTAGTGCCAGTAAGTCCAGTGAGAAGTAGAAGTTTTCAAAATGTTAACAAAGAAGCTAACTCGTGCATTCTAGGTGAAGTTGATTTTAATCCACAGGGTTGTGTTGATAACTTCAAAAAGTCCAAGAGAAATGTTCATGTTGAATCTTTAACATCTTTAAAAGAACATTCTGTTACTGTAGGAGAGACACCACAAATTGCTGACAGTGGTTATACTGAAATTGATCTAAGTAATGACAGAGTATCCTTAAAAGCACATTCCCATTCTATATCTTCAAGAGGATCTGATTCTGATGGGTATGTGACCATGACAGGAACAATTAAAAGGGGCAAAAAGAAAGGACAAACAATGGACATGAAGGTGCATATGTCTCGGGAAGAGCTAGATGAACTAGAAAGTAGCATAATTTCTCATCAGAAACCAGAAGAGGAAGATGATTGCTTTTTTGGTGCTAAAAAGGGTCCTCATGTATTTCTTCTTAGCCTTCTTTTAGCCCCTGTAGTTTTCTGCATGTCTGCAGCTTATTCTTTTTATATTGGTACAATGACTTGGTATAATATATTGGTGTTATTTACCGAAAAAAAAAACTGCATGGCATAAAATTTTTGTGAGTCCTTTACTGATAATTTTTTATCCATTTCTGATCATGATGCCAACAATTGGACTAGGTTTATATGCTTCAGTGATTCAGTTGTCCTGGCAGTATGATTTGTGGAAGCAGGAAGTCCTAGACTGGGAAAAAGGATTTTATGGCTGGTTATGCTGCTCCTTAAATATAGAAGATTGTTCCCCTTATGAAGTTGTGATCTTAACTGAAATACAAGGTGCTGATTCAGCGAAACAGAAAAAAGCAGTGGTTGCTGATACTGCTTTGTGAAAGTTAACATTCTCCTTACATTTAATATTGGCCTGTTTTAGATTTGATAATAAAAAAATGATTTTTTTTATGTAAGTGGTAGTGCCCAAAAATATAATTTTTTTTTAACACTTAAATGTTTTTTCTTATTAGTATTATTAGATAAGTAAAAGCAAATCCCTCTTAAGTTTTCTATATTTACATAAAATACCACATTTTTAGATCAGTACTGGCCCTTTTTTTTATCTTGAATTGGGCTGTTTAGTTATTTTAGAAAAAAATCCAATTTTAAAACATACTTTTTTAAAAAGCATTAAAGTTTGTAAACCTTCAGTTTGGTTTGGAAATTTGTTTTGTCACACATTTTTAACAGAGGTTTTAAAGGCCAAGGCAAATTTTATAAGAGACTCAGTACAATATTACATTCTTTAAATTTAGTTTAATATTTTGGAAAGGTTTTAGTGTGCTGCTTTAGTACACCATTGTTTACTTTTTCAAGTCTGTTTTTCAACTTGCATTTGAGATGCAATGTAGACACACATTATTGTATTGTAAATCTTAATTTAGTTAAGCATTCTTTGGCTTTGTGAAATTCCTAGTGTTATGATTTATCCTTAAATTACCAAAGGGTAATAGATCTTTTAGATTGATTTTATAGAAGTGGAAGTTCATGATACAAGATCAATGATATCACATATCTTTTCACAATGCTCCAAAGAGGCTATATTTATTCTTATATGATATCTTACCTCCTCTCACAAAATAGCTATTCTTGATTAGTACTGCCCTCTATCAGCTTAAACTTCAATGCTCTGCCACCAGCCTTCCACCTCTGCTTCTGAATATCCACATTTAAATGATTATGCAGCAGCTCTCCACCAATAGAAGCATGACACAACCCCTATCATAACCAGCACCCTCTCCACATTTGCACTCATTAATTACTTCTTGATTAGCAGTAGTACTGTACAGACTTGCTTGTTTCTGCTCGTAAGTTTGTCAGTCTTTTCCTTTATGTTACAAACTTAGTTTTTCTTTAATATGTTTTTGTTATATTTTTATTTACACAGGCCTTTTTGCTAGTGTATCGTGAATCTCACTCTGTGGCAAATGGTGCCTGACCAGGTTATTTTTTTGAAAATCCACATCGTCCATCCTGTAACCATGCTCGATGTCAATTACATTGTAGCTTTTCCTACCACGGACCTCATGTACAATTCTAGATGCTATCAGGTGTTGGTTGTGTTTGTTTGTTCAGTTGTTGAAACAATTACATCACAGGATTAGGATACACACACAGTAGAGATGGGGTGTTTCGTAGGACTGCCAGTAGTTCTCTATAGTGGTCTTTTGCTTCGTAAATATGTTCATCTCAGACCGTACACTCATGGACACACATCAGTAAAGCTGACAGGGATTGCTGCCCATCTTTGATGCTCTGTGGAATTGAGATCCTTCCTATCGCAGACTTGACGTACTATTCCAGATGCCACCAGGTGTTGGTTGATCACCTTCATTATTGTGGTAGCTCTGCTTTTTAAAATAGGGTATTGCAATCGCCCATTCATTGTCCCCAGTGATGTGGTCCTTTGGACTCTCCAATGCATTTTCCCCTCCTTTCATCTAGTGGAGTATGGGAGTCCTTGCCACTTACCAGTTCCTAAACTCTGGGGTGGTGGACCATTGAGGCCTCTCCTTCTGAGTGATGCATCATGCTACTCAGCTGAGATTAGGGCAGTGGCATTCTGTGGGTGTCGATAGCATATAGCACTTCCTACCATGGACCTGATGTACCATTCCAGATGTTGCCAGGTTTTGGTTGTAACACAACACCGTATTAATATATATATATATATCTCTGGCATATTGCATTTTCTAACCGTGGCATTCCACCTTCCTACCATCCTCTGGATGTACATTCCCATTGAGTTTAGTGTTGGTTGGAGATGACCTGGTCATGACTAGAATCATGTGTTGATAATGTGATGACCTTCCTACTATGGACCTGATTTGCAATTCCAGATACTGCAAGGTTTTGGTTGAAGCACTCCGCTATGTCATGTTTATATATATATATACACATTGCAGTTTACCCCTCAGGCTGAGACATTCCTCCTGCCTACCATCTTCTTCTGGATGCTGTTCTCTGGATGTTGGGTGTTGGTTGGAGATGGTTCAGGTAAGTAAGTCCTCACATATGTTCTGGCCAGTATCCCTCCTCCTACCACAGACTGGATGAATAATGTCCATTGCCACCAGGTTTTGGACTGGAGATGCACTCCTGGTTTGCAGTCCCTCTTGCTACCATCTGCTGGATGTTGGTTCCTAGTAGATCTGGTGTTGGTTGTAGTTGGATGCAGCACATGTATTCCTACTTGTGTACAGCTGGGTATCCTCCTCCTACTGCAGACTGGAAAAAACCATACCCAATGCCACCAAGTTTTAGACTGGAGATGTCATCCTACTGGGCTTTCCTCTTTCCTACCATCCACTAGATGTTGGTTTGTGGTGGATCAGGTGTTGGTTTGGTTAGAAGTGCGTTCAAGTGGAGATGGATTTTAGTATGGAAGCTCATCTTCCCTACCAGTTCCAATTTTAAGGTGAAGAGGTAGGTGATCTTCTGCCTACTGCGAAACTGATGTACAATTCCAGATACTGCCAGGTGTTGGATGAGGTGGAACTACCATTACAGTCTGTCTCACCCTAGCCACTCAACACCCAGGGGTTCCATTAATTGGTAATACATATTATGGGATTCCTTAATGTTTTTCTACCTTTTATGGTCATAAAAGAGTGAATAGTATACCTGGATCAGATATGGTGCAGTCTCCTGCTGAGATGTGATATTTTCTTTTTTGGTTCCACACCTCATGGTGTCTCTTTGGGTGCTTCATAAAGAGAGATCATTTTTTCACTGGCCCTCCACCAGTTCAATGTGGGATTCTAGCTATTTTGTGAGTGGAGGTAAGATATCATATCGGAAATTAATATTTTCTTAAACTGAAAATGTATTTCCGAAAGATACTTCCTCTCACATTTCCCACCAAGTGAAATGTGGTGTAGGTCTTCTGGCCAATCTCGAAGTAATTAACGAGTGCAAATGATAGGGGTTGTGTCACGCTCCTATTGATGGAGAGCTGCTGTATATTCATTTACACGTGGATATGCAGAAGCTGAGTTGGAAGGCGTGAGACAAGCATTGAAAATTTGTGCCGATAGAGGGTAGTACTAATCGAGAAAATATTTTGTGAGAGGAGGTATCTATTGGAAATACATTTTTTTAGGAAAATGTTAATTTTAACCACATAGAAAAATGGTTTCTTGGAAGTTCAATCTGACATAAAAGATACTGTAACCATTGTAAGTGTTACTTGGTTTAATTTATTGTTGTGTTTGGAGTAGTTAGTGTTAGTGTAAGTTTTAGAATATGATTTACATTTAGTAGATTTTTAGGAGGAAACTTTGTTTTAAGAATGTGAAACTGAAAATCAAGTAAGCATTAGGTTAAAAATGTTAGAAATGTAGTATTACAGTGTAAATAAATAAATCTGTATGAATCTTCTTAGATAACATTAATAATGAAACTAGATAGCCTTTCCTTAATAACTGTGGTAGTAATTCTACATACAGTAATGGAATTTCAAAACCCAAAGTTACACAATCTCAGTTACGTGGACCTTAGTGATAATCATTATTGTTACAAAACACTGTCATCAATGAATGCTGTACTTTCTACTGGTGCTGCACAGTAGAAAGTACCAAGTAATCATGGCAAGGACCACTTGCTGATGACCACAAAATATCACTTGACCATTTATACAAAAAATCAGTACTAATACAGGGGTGTAGAAATCAACTAACCCAATGAGTTCAGGCTATCGTGAAGTCAACACTTTAGCCCAGTGCTTGTGTTGTCCTCCTTACGTGAAACGTATGCATGTGTGCTAAGTCCAACTGTACATTTCATTATTTGTTTTATAAATGCTACCTGTTTTTCTTTTAAATCATAAAATATCTTCTGTCACCAGTTTTTGTAATATCAGTAGTCTGTTTATTAATGATGGGCTAATCCATAATAAGCCTGATGTACAAAACTATGCATGACTCGGTTACTGCCTTGAAAATTAAAATGCCAAATTATTTAGTTTTGTATTTATATCATAGTTGAATTTAAGTGATTATTTTTTGCTGGGATTAGAATAGCTAGTTTTTAAACTTTCTGGGCTGTGGTGGATTAAAATGTACATGTCACAACCTTTATACAGAATTATGTTTAAAATTTAATTAAACATAATGGTATTATCAGTTTATATAGGTAAACTTGACATTAAAATGTAGTATATAATTCAAATTTTAATGTAAGCTCTAATTTTTTATTTTGAAAGGAAATATTTAAACAAGTTCTCATTCTTCACTTCTCTGTATCATGTGATACTTGTTCACTCAAAATTGCCCATTTTTGATTTACTTTCAACCTCCATATTATTTTCTAAGTTTTAGAAGGATTATACACTTATATGTTAGACATTCCCAAGTTGAAATATAGATTTATAATGTCTATGCTTCTTGCTTTGCAGAAATATAAACCAGAAAGTCAAACCCACAAGACATCTTGTCTTTCAAAAATGCCATTAATTCTCTAGGACATTTGCTATTGCATTATTTCTAACCAACAGAAAAAGAAGATTTTGAGTTGCTGAATGAGATAACCAGACTAGAAAGTCTTGGAATATTTTTTCTTTATCTGCTAGCATTGGAACTCTGTTTGTTTTGGGAAACAAGAACTAAATCTAACAGTAGTTGATTTCATATATACTAATCATCTTGTTACTTTTCTCAGTAGGTAAACCCTTAAATATTTACTATTTGCATAGTATTTTGTATAACTGGAATAAGGTTATTTGATGCCTCAATCCTGTTTTTGTTCCAGGGGGTTGAATGGTAAATCTCTCTGTATGTGAAATGGCTGATATGTAAAACCCCGGGATTGAATGGTAAATCTCTCTGTATGT